AGAAGTTTGCATTGCAATTATAATAAAATATTGGTGTTTTTAACACTAAATAAAATGAGATTTAAGGTCATTGCAGTTACAGAAACATGGTTACAAGAAGGAGATGTTGAGGATTATCAAATAGATGTGAGATGTATTACCAGAATCGGGAAAATAAAAAAGGTGGTGGTGTATAATATTACTTGTGGAGTACCACAAGGGTCAGTACTAGGCCTTAAACTATTATTTATATAAATGATATTGTCTCTGCATCTAATATGTTAAGGTGTATCTTATTTGCTGATTACACAACTTTTTATTATTCAGGAGACAATATTGATCAAATGATAGAAGTGATACAAACAGCGTTGGAAAAAATCAAACTATGGTTCCATGGGAATAAGCTTTCATTGAACACAGATAAATCCTCTTTTGTACGTTCTTGCTGTGTTTGTCTTCAAATTCCATGTTTGGTTCTTTTTTTTAACACAAATAAGGTTTTTCTTTACCTTGCTGACTTTTCGTTTGCAGCTGCAAACGTCTTCAGAGCTGACGCTGATGGTAGCGTCACTTCCTACTCCGTTTATCCGCGGGCAGCAGAGGACGTTGTCGCCCTCTGCTGCCCGCGGATAAACGGAGTAGGAAGTGACGCTGATGGTAGCGTCACTTCCTACTCCGTTTATCCGCGGGCAGCAGAGGACGTTGTCGCCCTCTGCTGCCCGCTCTCCCCTCTCCGATGATGCAGTCCCATGCGCGATCCAATGAGTAAACTCCATCGTCTCTGTTCATGGTCCCCCATCCATGTCTCCTTATCTCGATAGCTTCCTTTATCCATCTTTTGTATTTCTGTTGTTCGGTGTTTATGATCCTTGTGTTGTCCCACCCAGTCCATTATACGGTTTTCTCTTGTGCAGTGAGCTGTTGCTGTAACAGATCACTTTTTATAAGCTGTTTCAGCCCTATTGCACATTCACATCACTGAGCATCTATGTTTGTTGAGCCTTCTGGATGATCAGAACTGAAATGAGTCTGCACTCTGTATGCGAACCAACAAGAGGCGACCTGCATCAGCCATGTTAGGTCAGTGGTTGCTTCAGTAATGTTCTCTGTTTCCTGTCTGCACAGATTGCTGGGAATAGAAGAGTGGCAAAATACTGGATTTCAGTATGATGTGATCAGCTGTCTGAACCTGCTGGACCGCTGTGATGACCCTCTGCATCTGCTGCAGGACATCCGGAGCTCCTTAGTACCTGGGACTGGAAGACTGGTCCTGGCAGCAGTCCTTCCCTTCCAGCCATACATAGAGATTGGTCAGTGTGTGTGTACTTGTCTTTATATGTTTAAGTGGACAAATTTTAACTTTAACCTGTAACATGTGGACATTTCCTCATTGTGGGGAAATTTTGCTGGTCCACACAATGCTAAGCACCCTAAAACTTGGTTTTAGAGGTATGGTGTGAATGAACTTTTAGTTTAGATTAGTTTAGGTTTGGTACATGAAATGTCACCTCTCTGGTAGGGGCTGCACAACTGAAGTCAACTGTCAAGTAATGAAAATTGAGTCGAATTTGACTAGTCGTTGATGACGTCATACATCTGAAGCCGGGGGGGGGGGGGGGGGGGGGGTTCGCTGGAGTTTTTGACAATTAAAATTGCGCCCACATTTTCAAAGTTAAACACATTTCTTTTAACAACGGTAGTTTCTGCTTCAGCCCTCTCCCCCCTCCCCCTGCGCAGTGCACCTGCAACCTCTCGGAGTTCCTGCTGCTCTAAACATTAAATTAATTATTTCATTTTCTGTTCCTCACTTCTGATTACCTTCAATGGTGTCTGTTTGTTGCAACCAGCAGGTACAAAAACTAACTTGTTTTTATTTGACTATTTTTCTGTCCTGTCTGTTTATTATCTTCCTGCATCTCCTCTCAGTCCTAAAGAGAAACTGCTACCTGGGTTCATATATATTCACCTCATGAGTTACCTTTGAACTGCAGTTCTAAAAGATCTACCGACCGCAAAAACAGCGGAGTGCTCGCTGCTCGCCGGCCACATCAGTGAGGTGAAGTTATTGGAGGACTAAACAGGTGATGCGCCCCGATCCACAGCAGCGAAACACATCAGGCACAAATAAGAGAATAAAAGACAGAAAACATAAAAGGAAATGAGCCGACATGAACGATCGCGTGTTAAATTAGTTTTTGAGGTGGCGACACCTGATTTGATAATGTTACTGTGGCCGTGCACAGGACGCAGATGTCTGGAGCGCGTCAACGATCAGAGCTTTACATGCGCACGCTGGTTACGGTTAGGATGGGGGTGAGGGGAAGGTTACATTGCAAGAGGGAAAAGGTCACAATTTGGTTAAATGTCCGTTTTACGGCGGGTGTCAGTACCAACGCTCTGGCACAGCGCGTTGCCTCCCGCTGCGCAGGCACCTGCTGTCTTTTCTGAGGACTGCATCTTGTCGCTCATTATCACGTGACAGCGACTAGTCGCTGAAAGGCATAAAAAGTCACTACAGAGCAGTGAAGTCGACTAATCGCGAAGTAGGGACTCCCAGCATGCCCCTCGCGGGGATTCCCTCCACGTTGCACCTACGTCACAAACCGCGGCTATAAGCGGAAGTCACCTTTCCAGCTCACCACTCAGTCATCGTTTCTTCAGATTCATGATCGGAGTTTCCAACCTACCGATCAATCCAACGAACTATCAGCTCATAGTAAGTTATCTTACTTACTTCTGGAAAGCCCGGCATTTCCGTGTCACTTCGTTGACGCTTGAACGCTCGGGGGTTTCCTAGATTAAGCGTGAGCCGGCGTTTCATCGACGTTCTCACTTCCGCGTCTGTGAAACCACGCTCCCTACAAGCTCAACTCCCGAATCCAGCCGACCAGTCTGACATACAGTACTATACTGAATTATCGTATGATCACATTCTCTTTTTGTGGGTAAAACTCAAGAAAAATTTTTTTACTTGTTTGTTTTAGTTTCATTACAAAAAGTGCATTTTATGATGAAATTGATGAAAAAAAAAACAGGAATTTCTTTATATTTCGCATAGAAAAATACTGTGAAGCTGTGAAAAATACAGCGAATCGGTGAATTTCCCTTGAATAAGGCTCCAAAAAAATTCCGCGATGTCGTGAATCCGCGATAAACGAACCGCGAAGTAGCGAGGGATCACTGTACTTTTAAAATGGTACCGGTTCCTAAACGGTATTTAAATCGGTACTTTAAAACAAACAAACAAAAACAAAAATAAATAACACAAATGTTCAATTATCCCATGACTTTTTATTTCTTAGGGCAAAATCTAAGCCAATCAAATTGACAAACAACATATCGACGCAACAGTTTTAACACAACTTTTTTGGTACCTATTTGTATAATTATAAGATATGATAACAAATAACTAAAAGTTATTTTATTTAATTACAGCAAAAATCACAACAAATGTTCAGTGCAAACAGTAAAGGCACAAGAATTAAACAGTTGCACACAATAAACATTTTTGTGCAAAACAAAAGTTTGTAGTGAAGATAAAGTCCAAACAATTTGTTTGTGTACAAAATACAAACATCTACTCTGAAAACACGGGGAAAATAACATATTTGAACCCCAAATCAACAAACAAATAAAAACATTGTATAAATAAGAGGCAGGAGGAGTAAAAATAACTATTTACACGGTATAAACATTATTCTAGCAGGTTTTCTTCTGAATAATTAGCATGTATGCTTTTTCTGGCCGGTGCTAACAGCCTGGATCGCTTCTGTTTGTATTAAATGGTAACTGGCCTGTATTTGTATAGCGCCATCTTGGGGTTCTACATCCCCCAAGGCTCTTACAACAAAATCGGTCATTCACCCATTCACACACGCATTCGTACACTGGTGGGGATGAGCTACAATGTAGCCACAGCTGCCCTGGGGCGCACTGACAGAGGTGAGGCTGCCGAGCACAGGCGCCACCGGTCCCTCCGACTCAATGTCCCCTGCCTCCCCTGGAACATTTTGGAAGTTCTGTCGGAGGTGGGAATTGAAGCTCCTTCTGACAGGAGACTGCCAGAAGTTCCCAGCAAACCCTCACAATACGTTTGGGCCTGCACTGGTTTACTGCTTGCTGCAGCAGCAGAAGAGCCCTTATTTGGTCAAATCATTCTGACCTGTTAGATGGAATGTCCATTATATTAAAGCTGATGACATGATTCTTTGTAGTCATAGCAACCATGTGAAATCATAAAGTAAACAAGGTCGGACTTCACACAAAGACACATGTAGCATTCAGTCAATATGGAGAGGTAACTCTGAAGGGCCTTTTTTCCTCCACCTGAACCAATCCTCATATATAAACCCTCTGATCTCTATTAGCGCAGCGCGACTCGGGTGGCGAATGACCACATCACCAATTCTTGTCATGTGTCTATGCCTATGTGTGTCTGACCTCTGAATTGTGTGCACTGAAACTCTAATTTCCCTCTGGGATTAATAAAGTATCTATGAATTGAATTGAATTTGGATTCATTTTCAATGCGGTGAGGAAGAAAGTGAAAAAAGTGATTTTCTTTAGTCTAAACAGGTCCAGCTTGGGTAATCGACCCGTAATCATAGGCCACGCCTCCCACGGCTGAGCGGGTTGTTTTAATGTATAGTTTTAGGGGTGCACGCTGTCGTTCGAGCTGCGTAAGAAAAACTAGACAATTCCTGAAAACATAATAAAAAGGGTCCTGCCACCTGGCACAAGACAGTGCTAACGCAAATCTAAAAAAGCCACACACTCAACGTTTGAAAGGATAACTCAATCTGCCCAAATTTCAGACATTTTCCAAAGTTTTTTGCTAATAACTTTGCCGTGGTAAATCAAATTGTGTACAAAAGTTACAGCCTACCTCCCACGCATACTTGAAGGACAAGATGCTACCATGAAAGGTTCCTGCCAAGATTTGAACTAGGAACCTCACTGCAAGACTAAAGTGTCCATCTTTCCGTCATGCAGCCCCGTTGTTGTCTGTGTCTGTGAGTGCTCTAAGGGGGAGGGAGGGCGGACTGTGCATCCTCAGTAACTCCCATCCAGAAACCATCGTCTAAGTTTGCTCCACAGACGGTTCTGCCCTCTACACCAATAGATGGAAACATGCAGGGCTTATTCAATTGAACCATATTTGTCCTCTGACCTGTAAATGACTTGTCATTATTCAGTTTAATAACTAACTCATGTGAAGATGAGGGCCCTTCCGGATCAATGATTCTCCTCTTGGCCAACAGATTTTTACTCTGAGCAGCCATAGCTTTATGCAATTTGCCTCTCAGTTGCTCAATCTCTGCCTTCTGTTCTGTGATCTTTTTCATAAAATTCTGGCTTTCTAACTCCAGGTTTAAACGACCAACAGTATATTTATTCTGGCCTTTTTTATACGTACCACTTAGCAGCGTTTTCACATGCATTGCTACTGATTTCAAGCCATTTTTAGAGAATTCTTCGGCTAGCTTGTCAAGTTTTCCCTGAACTTCCATTTTCTCTCTGGAAATCAGTTCCTGAGTTTTCTTTGCTGAATCGCTAATTTCGTCTTTTGCGTTCTGTAGTTCTGTCGCTGTTATTTCAAGCTCCTTGATAATTTGCTCCTTCTCCATTTCTTTAGTCGCTAAGATGCTTGAATGTTGGGCGTCTTTATTCCGAGCTGACGACAGTTGCTGCTCTGTGTTTTCTAACTGCATCTTAACTTCCTTCAGCTGGCGAGACAGGGACGATGTCGCCTTGACTAAAGACTCTTTCTCTGTTGAAAGCAGTGCGTTGGCATCTGTAAGTCCACTAATCTTCTGTTCCAAACACTGAATTTGATCCTGAGCTTTAAACAGATTGCTTCCATATTCAGCTTTTAGACTTTTAGCAAGTGTGGCTTCATTCAGTTGCAGTTTTTCTCTTGCCTTCCATTCCTCTATTTCGCTGTCCTTCTGTTCCACAATGGCATTGAGTTCAGATTCATGAGCTTCACTTTGTTTCCTTTTCTCTTGTTCAGCGTCAATTCGTTTACTGACAGCGTTGCATATTTGAAGATTTAGATTTAGGATTTCTGAGGCATTTTTGTCTAAAAGAATCCGCATGTTGTCTAATTCTGTAGCAAGCTTTTGGTTTTCCTGAGTAAGTGCAAAGTATTTCTCTGGCCATTCATCATTTGTCCTTTTCAGCTGTCTGTAATCTAATAGTAAATTTTTCTTATCTTTTTCTAAACGTGTCACATATGCAGACGTTTTCTTAGCGTCAGCTTTCAGTCGGTCGTTGTGGTCCATTAACTCTTTAATCCTGTTATTTAACGGAACTTCAACATTCTTCCTGACCGTGTCCTCGTCTTCATATTCAGCTTTGAAGTTTGCGAGTCTCTTTTTCAAACTTGTTGTTCTAAGTATTTCTTGAGCCAGTGAACGTTGCAATATTTCCTTGTTTTTCAATAATGACTCATTTAAAGCTTGAAGTTTTTCATTTTCCTTAGAAAACTCTTCGTTTTGTACTTTTAATTCAGTGTTTGTTTGCACTGAACTGTTTAGTTTTGTCTCAACGCTCTTTCTGCGTGACGTTTGCGTTTCCAAGTCTTTTTCAAGCCTTTGGTGTTCCTTCTTCAAGGACTTCAGGCATTTCTCGGTTTCTTCTAGTTTAGCCGTACGCTCCGTCAGCTGAAGCGCTGCATTAGACCGCTGACTTTTCTCCTTTCTCATTTCCCTTTGAAATCTGGTATTTTTCTTTGTTAAATCGTCCAACTGGTTCTTCCACCCAGTTTCTTTTTCAGATAAAACTTTTTGAAAATTCTTAACTTCTGATGTCAGTTCGATGATTTTGGCTGTGAGTAAGATCTCGTTGGCCTTACTCTTGTCTAATTTAGCCTTCAACTCTGTAAGATTCAGCTCATGAGCCATTTTAACTGGTGACTTAAGCGGTGGTGACACACTTGTGTAAGCGGTTCCTGTAGGGAGCGGTGATCTGATCCGTTTCGTACAACGACCTTAACACACTGAGGGCTTCTTTCTGATGACGCAACAAAGTAATGAGCTATCGCTTTGATGACGTCACGCGTACGTACGTGCGTGCGCGCACGTGGGCGGGGTGGGGGTGCTCTTTGAGAGTAGAAGCAGCTGATCGCATCAGCGGGGTGGTTGTTTTGATTCTGCCTGCATCACGTGACCTGGACGAGCCTTTTGTTTACGTTTTAATCCGTGGTTATTGTGCGCGTGCGCGCGCACGTGTGTTTTGTAAAGCCGGGCGTGCACTGTGCGACTTTTTCACTTTTTTGAGCCGATTTTCCACTCGTGCGGGAATCCACGAGATCGGGGCGAGTTTAGCGCCGAGCGTCGTGTAGGGTACAGGGGGTCACGAGAGGCGATTAACACCACGTGACCAGCCGCCGATCAGCAGTCGCGAGCTCGCACGGACTTCTGGAGTGTTTAATATTTCGCTCGTCCCTCGTGAGGGTATCGCACTGTTGAAGCGGCGCTGCGAGCAGCTGCGACCCAAAAGTATCAGAACCGCTCCCGCATAGGCGTCATTTTAACCGGAGACATGTACCCGGTTAAAATTTGTGATTGGCAGCTGTGTCCCCCCCCACTTAAAAAAAGCCTGCTGATGAGGATTTTTGTTTTACCAGCTCAGATCTCATACCAGGGGTCGGCAACCTGTTCCCATCAAAGAGCCATTATTACCCGTTTCCCACAGTAAAGCAAACACTGGGAGCCACAGCGCTGTGGATGGATGGAGATTACATTTTACATCAGCCTGATCATCATTTAAATACGTAACCATCACCTGTCTTCCAGTCCACGCTAACATTATTTTAATTGGTGTGTGTGTGTGTGTGTGTGTGTGTGTGTGTGTGTGTGTTTTCCACTTCAAACACTGGTCTAACCAACCAGACCAGCGTGTCCAGTAACATATTAATGTTACACTTCATGTAGGCTAGGAACGTTCCACCTGCCGTGGCCCGACCGCTTCTGCTCCACATAAACTTTGTGCGTGATCAAATGTCTCTACAGGAGCTTTCTGAGCTGAAGAGGCTATTCTGCCTCAGACTGGATGCGTCATGCGTCTCCATATTAGAGACGGGAACAAGCGCTGTTCAGCCAAACTTTCATAATCAGAGAACATTTTTCCAAGTGACACATCCCATTTTGTGTTTCTTTAAAAAGACAAAAAGGTTTAACTGGTCAGGGTTGGCGCTGAAGGATGGAGACACCTTCATGAATTACGCAGCTAACTTCCTACTAGTGCACTTGTTATTATGAATATTGCTTAAATGTAATTTCTACTTGTTCATATCTTTGCAAATTTCATCAGTAAGAATATTATTTGGACAAGAATAAATTATATTATTGTTATCTAGAACAGGAATTACAGAGAGATGTTGCTGATTAAATATTAAAATGGCTTGCCTTACAGGCTTTTTCTAGACAGAAACAGGGGAAACATAAAACAACACAATATGAACCGTTGTTCGCTGGATCGTTCTAATATTACTGGTAAATCTGTTCAGTCACAAATGTAATCTCACTCAGTTGGAGCTCATTTGTCTGCGTGATGATGTCAGAGATGGTAACAAGTTGGGCGTGTCAAACCTTTTTTTTCAGCTCTGCAGATGGACAAGAGACATCGTTCTAAATTTCTCTTAGCAGCTTTGGGAGTCTAAAATATCCCCTCACAGGAGACTTTTAGCACTTCCTAACTGGAAATGAAGAAGTCCTTGTGGGTGTTGATGCTGGTTCTACTGCGTGCATTCGTTCAGTTTCACTTTCGCTTTAGTTCTCTATTGTTTTTTTGTTTTTTTTACCGTTGGAGATGTCTTTGCGATGGGTTAACCGCAGCGTTTCACACCGTGGTTAATAGTCATATGGGTAAGCCCTTGCAACCCTAGCTGTAGGGACTATGTCTCTCAACTGACCAGGAAACGCCTTGTGATTCTCCCGGGGTAACTGGCCCAAGTATCTGGGGAAAGGGAAGTCTGGGATCCCTGCTTAGGCTGCTGACCCAGCAACCCAAGTCCGGATACCTTTGCGCCGCAGCTCCGGGATGCAGAATGCCGATGGCTCCGCGCTGGGCAGTCGGACGAGGAGCAGGACCTACTAGACACACTTTGAGGGAGCGTGCAGTTGTCATGCTGACTGCAGGACTGTCTACCAGAGCTGTTGCCCATGAAATGAATGTTCATTTCCTTACCATAAGCTGTCTCCAAAGGCGTCTCCAAAGGCGTTTCAGAGAATTTGGCAGTGCACCCAACCAGCCTCACAACCGCAGACCACCTGTGACCACACCAGCCCAGGACCTTCACATCCAGCATGTTAAACTCCAGGATCGCCTGAGACCAGCCACCCAGACAGCTGCACCTACAAACTGTCAGAACCCGTCTCAGGGAAGCTCATCTGCATGCTCGTCATCCTCATCGGGGTCTGGACCTGACTGCAGTCCGTCGTCGTAACCCACTTGAGTGGGCAAACACACACATTCAATGGCGTTTGGCACTTTGGAGAGGCGTTCTGTTCACAGACGAGTCCCGGTTTTCACTGTTTAGGGCAGATGGCAGACATGGCGTCGTGTGGGTTAGCGGTTTGCTGATGTCAGGGTTGTGGAACGAGTGGCCCATGGTGGCGGTGGAGTACTGAAATGGGCAGGCGTATGTTATGGATAACGAACACAGGTGCATCGTACTGATGGAATTATAAATGCACAGGTACCATGACGAGATCCTGAGGCCCATTGTTGTGCCATTCATCCACGACCATCAACTCATGTTGCAGCATGATAACGCACAGCCCCATGTTACAAGGATCTGTACACAGTTCCTGGAAGCTGAAAACTTCCCAGTTCCTGATGGCCATGGCATACTCATCAGACATGCCACCCATTGAGCATGTTTGGGATGCTCTGGATTGGTGTATACGACAGCGTGTTCCAGTTCCTGTCAATATTCAGCAACTTCACACAGCTACTGAAGAGGAGTGGACCAACGCTCCTCAGGCCACAATCAAGAACCTGATCAACTGTATGTGACGGAGATGTGTTGTCCTGTGTGAGGCAAATGGTGGCCTCACCAGATACTGACTGATTTTCTGCCCCACCACCCCCATAAAGCAAAACTGTGCACATGTCAGGGTGTCCTTTTATTGTGGGCAGTCTAAGGCACACCTGTACATTATTCATGCTGTGTAATCAGCCCCTGATATGCCACATCTGTGAGGTTAATGGATTATCTTGGTAATGGGAAAGTGCTCACTAACTCGCATGTAGACAGATTTCAGAACAATATGTGAGTCATGGGTGTTTTGTGCATGTAGAACAGTGGTTCCCAACCTTTTTCCCAAGGGACCCCGTTTTGATGACCCCCCCCCCCCCCCATTCTCTCTTCCAGTACAAACATTATTAAGAAATGATAAAATTGTTCAAGCACATTTTAATATGCTTTGATTCAATAGATAACAGTAATAGTCGGCTCCAGTACAGAACAAAGTCATTAACAAAACCAAACAGAGCATAATGTGATTGACAGTTTGTATTACTTCTCTGAACACATTGTTTCTTGTAAACACTGATAAATCAATCATTCCTTTCAATAAACGTTTGACACATAAAAAATACACTGAGCAAAATGTACTTAAATGTGTACATTACTGTTTATACTAGATTATTTACTGTAAAGGCTGTGATTAATCAATCAGTCCTATCGTTAATGAACTTTTGACACTTGAAAATAAAACAGTGAGCTGAGCAAAATGTTCTTAAAAGTGTGTTACTTTTTCTGTACTAATTATTTCCTGTCCTAATATCAGTAAACGTTTCACTCATGAAAAAATGTGAGCACAATGTAGGCTATAAACAAGTAATAAATGAAGTTTTAACCCCTTAAAGTGGAGAGGTCCTGGCGACCCACTGAGAGGCTTTGGCGCCCCCTTGTGGGGGTCGGGACCCCCAGGTTAGGAACCACTGATGTAGACAAAGTTTCAGGTGTTTGAATTCAGCTCATGAAAAATGGGAGCAAAAACAAGTGTTGCTTTTATATTTTATTTCTTTGTAAATAGTTTAAAATGTTTTGTCCAACTTTAGAGACATTCCATAAAGTTTATGAACGTGATGTCATCATGTGACAGCACGCCGAGAGAAAAGTGGCAGTTTGCGTACCAGCTGACCTGTCTACACACTAGGGGTTGTATGAACTAGTCGACTTCACGGCTCTGTAGTGACTTTTTATGCCTGTCATCGACTAGTCGCTGTCACGTGATAATGACTGACAAGATGCAGTCCTCGGAAAAGACAGCAGGTGACGAGCCCCTGCGTCGGGAGGCGAAGGCGACGCGCTGTGCCAGAGCGTCGGTACTGACACACCGGCAATAAAACGGACATTTAACCAAACTGTGACCTTTTCCCTCTTGCAATTTTACCTTCCCCTCACCCCATCCTAATCTTAACCAGTTTGCAAAGCTCTGATCGTTGATGCGCTCCAGACATCTGCGTCCTGAGCACCGCCAAATCAGGTGTCACCACCTCAAAAACAAATTAAACACGCAATCGCTCATGTTGGCTCATTTCCTTTTATGTTTTCTTTCTGTTATTTGTGCCTGATGCGTTTCGCTGCTGCGGAGCGAGGCGCATCACCTGTTTTGTCCTCCAGGGACGCACCCCCAAGATTCCACTATCTCCGCTCCGCCACGAACTCCGCAGCAAAAACGGTCCCGTTGTAGTCGGCCGGCGAGCGCTCCGCTGTTTTAGCGGTCGGTAGATCTTTTAGAACTGCAGTTCAAAGGTAACTCATGAGGTGAATATATATGAACCCAGGTAGCAGTTTCTCTTTAGGATTGAGAGGAGATGCAGGAAGATAATAAACAGGCAGGACAGAAAAATAGTCAAATAAAAACAAGTTAGTTTTTGTACCTGCTGGTTGCAACAAACAGACACCATTGAAGGTAATCAGAAGTGAGGAACAGAAAATGAAATAATTATTTTAATGTTTAGAGCAGCAGGAACTCCGAGAGGCTGCAGGCACATCAGTGAGTTTGCGGCCGCGGCGCGGGGGGAGGGGTGAAGCGGAGCAGTATAGATGCAGAAACTACCGTTGTTAAAAGAGATGTGTTTAACTTTGAAAATGTGGGCGCAATTTTAATTGTCAAAAACTCCAGCGAACCCCCCCCCCCCCCCCCCTTCAGGTGTATGACGTAATCAACGACTAGTCAAAGTCGACTCGATTTTCATTACTTGACAGTCGACTTTTAAAGAAATTAAGTCATGCAACCCCTATTACTTCCTGTTATATTATGCCAGTTTTAACTAATGTGCAATGTGTATATTTATGATAATGATTAATTATGACTTATCAGTTGATAATTTAAACTTGAATTGTTAGTTTAGTATTTTAGCATTTCACTGTTTTTGTTTTTAACTTGTGTCTGTTTCACGGTTTGATTTGTATTTTTAACCTAACTGAGTGTTTTACCTGTATTATGTAAGTTCTGTTAAAGTGACCCTGAGAGTCCTGAAAGGCGCTTACAATAAAATGTATTATTGCTATTATTATTGTTATTGTTATTATTATTATTATTATATTGTTTATTAAATTGGCTGAGTAGTATTTTCTGCGCATAGGCAGTAGCGGTCACGCGGGGTCTGTGGTCGGAACCATAGAAGCGGGCGGATGTTTGATGTCGGAACAAAAAGAAAACGGACCCAGGAATCTATTACGAGGCTCGTTTGTTGTGTTTGTCTCGACTCGCGCTCTCTAGGAGATTGGAAACAGGGGTTTGAGCTGGTTTAAAGGTACGTAACGACCTGGATCACGCTACAGGTGAGCGCGTGTGCTGGCTGCAGCCGTTTACGGGCGCCTGGATGGTTTAATAGTTGTAACAGTGAACAAGGACCGGACGCGGTGATGTCTGGACCTTAGCTGTGTATTACCGTTTTCTTTGTGGTACTTCTGTAAACTAGCTATCTGTAACCCCCGCGTCGGGCAGAAACAGCATCATCCCTGCTAACTGTTCGCGGTTTTACTTTCATGAAGGATGAAAGACGAGTGCTGTTACTTTATCGTTCAGTTCGTCGTGGCTGACAATGGAAAGTGATAAATAATTTAATCTCGTTGTGTCGCTCATGAATCATCATATATGTGTGACTTCAGTAAAGTTGGAAAGCCTTTCACATATTCCACGTTTCCGACTCAATCACCTTAACTGCATGGTGTCGGGGTGAGGTGACGTTCAGGAACGAATCGAATCTTTTGAACGGATTTTCAAAGTGAACGGTGAGAGCTGAGTCCCTTTAAAGATCCGTTCATCTAACACCCCCACCCCCCCAGATGCTGAAGCAGGGCGCTGCAGCGGCTCCACCTGCTGCTGCTAACCTCGGGCTTCGCTTCTGGCTCAGAGCTCCTCACCACGACAGGCCGGTAGGGCGGGGCTAGGGCAGCACCAGCGCCTGTCTGCTTGCCCTTTCTCATGTAGATCCATTTATGTTTGTTTTAATTATTTTTCCACTAAAATCAACATCCCGTTAAATAAATGTCCATACTTGTCAGGGGCGCCTCCAGAAATGTTTTACAGGGGTGGCCAGATGGGGCCAAACAAATTTTTGGGGTGGCACACCAAATTGAACCTTGTGGTAACTCTGGGAGAGTTTAGCCTGTGGCGGTGTACTGCATTGCTCCTTTATTCTTTTTTATTAAAAAAGCAGGACGTATCCAAAACATTTAACTTAAATTTTACAAACACAAACATTTCAGAAAAGTACATTTTAGTTTTTAAAATGTTATTCCAATTTTTTTAGGTTAATTCACCTGTTGCTGTGTTCACAAAAAAAAAACATGGAGATAAAAACTTCCGTAAAATGGTGAGCAGTGGAAAAATATGTATTTATTTATTCTGATTATTTCTTTACTTAATTGTATTATTTTTATTTTGTTTTACAATTATATCTTGAATTAACAAGATTAATATATGGTTAGACTGAACATTAATATGATTTATTAAAACTGACTTTTCCTGGGGGGGGGGGCAGCAGCACTTTTCTAGGGGGGGCCAAAAAACTCTCATTGTTTCTTTAATGTGCTTTAAAAGAGTTTAGCGTGTTTGTGTCTGAAACAACAGCCCCAGCACCTTGTCTGTGTGTCAGCATGGACCTGACGTCCATGATGTCCAGCACGTTTTATGTGACTCCGACCTTCAGCACTGGTTCATATCACACTTGCCTCCCTGATCAGCTTTAACCCTCAGGCTTCATTAGGGACATTTTTGTCCATTTGGGCAGTTTTTTGTTTTTCTTTTTGACGCCATTTCACCACCGTTTGTGCATATGGTACAAAATTTTGTCACAAAACCTCTCTGAACAAATTTTGAAATTCAATTTGGAATTTTTAAAATAGACTAAGGGAACACTATGAAAAAAAACACTACAGTGATCCCTCGTTTATCGCGGTAGATGCGTTCCAGACCTGGACTCGATAGGTGAAAATCCGCAAAGTAGGGACACCATATTTACAGTATTTATTTTTACAGGTACATATTCAGTATTCGTAGTAGTTCAGTAGTTCTCTCAGTAGTTCAGGTTGTTTATGCATGTGCAGAAGAGGGAATGCTTGCTTGCATTTGGAGGTGAGACAAAGTTCAGTCCATCCAGCCAGACTAGCAGCACAGGACTGTGTGCTGTTTGCATGTGAATTAGCCACATCTAAAACAACGTGTGACTGCTTTCTTTCTCTTTTTTTCCTGTGCACAACAAGCACGGTCCCCTTGTCTCTGTGACGCTGCTGCAGTGGGGCCAGTGCCAAGAGCCACTGTTGCAACGGTCTTTCTTCTGCAGCCGTAGAGCCCTTCTCCTTCACTGGACAGGTCAGGAGAAGAAGTCAAGGAAACAGAATGGTCTGCCTCCACCTCACAGTCCACTGAAGGTGTTTCACTCTCCTCATTCTCTCCAGGAGGATCAGGCTGCAGGAGCTGATCCAGAGCTTGTTCCACAGATGGATGCCTCTGCATCTTGCTCCGTGGCTTTTCAGAAGTGAACTGACCAGATCACCAGACTACGAGGGGTTTTCATGGGGCAGGTGCATAAACAACATACTATTTTTGTTTTCCACACTTTGAAGTTCAGTAGGAGAGTCAAACAGTGTTTTATCAGAGGTCAGGTTGGCCTTCTGACTTCAACAAGAACAGCAGAAGATCTAAAGAAACGTGTCAACTTTCTCACCTGAGCAACTTCTGGAGGCATGGCTGAATTTGGGTGCAGGAGTCACAGCTTCATCAGCACCTACAGCTGCAGAAGAAAGACCAGTTGCAGACGGGTCAGTGGACCGTGGTTCTGATGTGTGTGAGAGCTGTCAGATTTCTGTCTTAGATGAGAATCTGCACTTTAAAATGAAACCTCCAGCCGTAACGTGGTCATTCCCAGAGCCTTTCTAGAGCTCACAGGTCCGTTTTGCTTTGAGTCGCTCGATCTGGTGACCTTACTGACCTTTAATGGTTTTAAACGGAGGCGCTTCAGAAAGCTCCGAGTGAAGAAAGAGCCTGAAAGGGCGTCTGATCCTGGGTAGCTGTGAACGGTGTGAGGACCTTCGGAGCGAAAACCGGTCCTGGCACCAGCTCAGCCGGTCTCTCCGGGATTAAATGAAGCCCTGGTTCTGTTCATTGAGCCTCAGTAATAGTTTCATTACTACTGGGATGAATTCAGGCAATCCCGTCAGAAACGTGGTTTCGTTGCTGAGTAAGAGCTGTAAATCCTTCTGCAGGTCTCCATGTGATGGTGCGATGACCAGACGAGGAGGTGTCCCGAGCAACCGTTGCCCCAGCGGCTGATGACCCCATTAGTTTGGCCTGGCAGGATGCACATGGCCTCAGTGGGCATCAGCAAGTTCTGCTTTCTGTTCTCTGTGGCATTTTGTTCTCTCCTCCTCCTGCTCATACCAGCTCTCCAGAGCCCCCCGTCCCAGCTGGACTTGCCTCGACCTCGACCCCGCACCAGACTGCCCCCAGCTCATCGGACACACCGTGCAAGGCTTCCAACATCCACTGCCAGTCCTCTAAGGAACCTGGAAACTCATGGACCACCCACTAGAACCCAACTTAGTGGGAGGAAAAGCCCCAGTCAACTTGCTGGGTCTAGGGAGGATTTGAGAGGCAGTGATGGAAGACGCATGGGTTCACTGATGGGATACAGGTCCCCAGACACGTTGGAGCTGAGGGACATTTTTATTGCAGTGAAAACCACCAGGAAATACCATGAGTCAAGACTGCAGCTGTTGCTCCAAACCTGGGTGTCCCGAGCTAAGGAGCAGGTAAGCGTGGATGTTTCTGTTCCTACTCAACAAGCATCATAACATCTGCACCGACTCTAGATAGCTGCCTCTAAATAACACTTCCATAGAGTTACGCTCCTCACACTACTGCAACTGTCTTCACGTGTCTGAGCAGAACCTCCCTGAACCGTCTGCAGGTGGTTCAGGATGACCGAGTCCTCCAAACGCACCCGCGTCACCCCGCGTCACCGGCTGCCAGTCAGTCAACTTCAGGGTTCCTTTCAGGATCCTGGTTTTTAGGGCCTAAAGCCGGGACCACGCTGCGGTTTTTGGGCCGTCACACAGGATTTGTTCATGTCCCACTGTGAGAACCCAGAGAGGTGTAACACTGTACGGCGCAGGTTTTCAGTGAGGAGGACTGTAGGACCTCTCTCCAGCAGAACACCTCCAGATGAGCACACGTCACTAAAAGCAGACCGCTAACCAAAACAAGGCTGAAAAGATAAAAAGCACCACCTTTAACACTTGGTGTCAGCTCATCTTCCTCAGAGAGGAAGGGTCATTTTCAAAACCCTCGCTTGGCCTCGGACTCCGGCTGCGAGTCTACTTTCCCCGTCGTCCAGCTAAACAGCTGATCTGTCTGCTGGTCGTTCGTCCTTCTCATCCTTTTACATAAAACCCACTCATCAATTCATCATCGCTCCTTTCTCGCCGTCGCCTCCAGTCCCTCAGCAGCAAAACGCTACTGAACCATCCTTATCGGTTAAACGTGTGAGATCGACACCGAAGCTCAGAGGGGCGGAGTCTTGCTGCTGTGGTCCCAAAGGTGCATTTATTTACCTTTAGTCAACTACAGACGGGAAGACTGTTAGCGGCTGAGTTTGGTTGTGAGACGTTCAGAAAGCTGTTGCAGAGCCAGAGGCACTGGATGTCCACAGATATGCTCACGTCGAGGGACTTGGCTGAAAATCTACGATGGAGCTGAAATATCGGTGGGTGAAGGAGGTCACAAGAAAAAGGGCGCTTCAGAAAGGCGAGGTGATGAGTGACAGCAGGTCACGTAGGTCGGACCTCTCTGTAATTCCTTTTTCATGTGGCAGTGTTTACACTGATCCTGGTACTAATGGTATCGCTTCAGTCAGACATGCAAATGAAGACATCAGCGGCTGTGTTGTTACTGCAGAGGTTCTAGCTTAGGTAGGAGTTAAGTTAGAGATATCTCAGCATCCCACAAACCTAAGGTGACCTTTCAACATTCATTAGGCACGTATTCCACACATCTGTAATGTTCCTGGAAGAAATCCCAGATTTCCATAAGGACATTCTTACTGAATATCTGAAAAGTTTGTGCTAGATGGTGAGACTCTCCCAGTTCTAACAGTCTGTGACATTACAGATATTACAGAACGTAACTGCGTTTAAAAGGTCTTGAGTTAATTGAGTTAAACTTAGTTTGTATTTAATGAGCATTCAACAGAAAATGTTGCAGTAAGTGTTTTACACAGTAAACAGAGATACTTGTCTTTTCTTTGTGCCGATCCGAAAAGGATCGAGCGGCGACGCGGGACCATGACGTGATCGGATCCGTGCGTTTTTTTATCTGTTGCACCACCGCTGAACATTAGCATTCATGGACTCGCCCATCTTGGCGTCCAGGAGAGAGCAGAGCACGTCTCGGCTAGTAGAAGCTAACCGTTAGCATTAGCAACCTAACCCAATTGAAATGGCATCTCTCTGTGGTTAAGACTGGACATGAAGAACCCGTCTGTGTACCTCTACCAGCACTAGTGAACCGTGTGAGGGTCCCGGTGCCGCTGCTGTACGGGTGTGTGGTTCTTGAGTGATAGCAGGTTGTTGTTGTTTACTTGGAAAATCCATGAATGGTGTTTACAAAGATAGTCATGCGTGTTTTGATGCCCTCATAGTCCCTGCTCCATACTCTATTGGGCCTTTTGCTGCACATGTAACCTCACCTTCTTCTGCTTCTCATTAGTTTAAATTCTTTTCCCAACGTAATCCGTGTGCTCCGTGTCTTCCAGACGTTTATCTTCACCGACGCTGAGGACAGAGAGCTGCAGCTGAGAGCAGGTGCGGTGCTGCGCTGCTCCCACAAACGGGCATTTCATGACCCTCCTGTTGCTGTTTACCCACCGAAGAGCTGAGACACACACTCATCTGTACCGGTCCTCAGAAGGAGCAGGAGCTCCGCCTGAGCCTAGGCCTTCAGAGACAACACTACACGTTACAGTTGTGGTCAGAAGTTTACATACACTTGTAAAACATATAATCTAATGGCTCTACTGAGTGTCCCGTTATTTCTACAACTCTGATTTTTCTCTGATAGAGTGATTGGAACAGAAAACATTCATGAAGTTTGGTTCTTTAATGTCTTTATTATGGGTTAACAGAGAAAAGTGATCACATTTGCTGGGTCACAAATATACATACAGCAACATGAACTAGCAATTTAGGTGACTTAGAAACGTGTCAGTGAACTGAGCTTCATAGCATGGCCTCTTAACTTCTTGTGAGTGATTATGAGTGACTACAGCGGGTGACTTCTCTTAGGCCAGGTAAATAGGGCTCATTGGATACAAGCGCCCACAAACGCTACAATGGGAAAGTCAAAGGAGCTCAGCATGGATCTGAAAAAGCGAATTATTGACTTGAACAAGTCAGGAAAGTCACTTGGGGCCATTTCAAAGCAGCTGCAGGTCCCAAGAGCAACAGTGCAAACAATTGTTTGTAAGTATAAGGTGCATGGCACTGTTTCATCACTGCCAAGATCAGGAAGAAAACGCAAGCTATCACCTGCTGCTGAGAGAAAATTGGTCAGGAGGGTAAAGAGTGAACCAAGAATCACCAAAAAGCAGATCTGCCAAGAATTAGAAGCTGCTGGAACACAGGTGTCATTGTCCACAGTCAAACGTGTTTTGCATCTCCATGGACTGAGAGGCTGCCGTGCAAGAAGGAAGCCCTTGCTCCAAAAGCAGCACCAGGTTAAGGCTCGACTGAAGTTTGCTGCTGATCACATGGACAAAGATAAGACCTTCTGGAGGAAAGTTCTATGGTCAGACGAAAGGAAAATCGAGCTTTTTGGCCACAATGCCCAGCAATATGTTTGGAGGAGAAAAGGTGAGGCCTTTAACCCCAAGAACACCATGCCTACAGTCAAGCATGGTGGTGGGAATATTATGCTGTGGGGCTGTTTTGCTGCCAATGGAACTGGTGCTTTACAGAGAGTAAATGGGATAATGAAGAAGGAGGACTACCTTCACATTCTTCAACATAACCTCAAATCATCAGCACGAAGGTTGGGTCTTGGGCGCAGTTGGGTGTTCCAACAGGACAATGACCCCAAACACACATCAAAAGTGGTAAAGGAATGGCTAAATCAGGCTAGAATAAGGGTTTTAGAATGGCCTTCCCAAAGTCCTGACTTAAACCCCATTGAAAACATGTGGACAGTGCTGAAGAAACAAGTCCATGTCAGAAAGCCATCAAATTTAACTGAACTTCACCAATTCTGTCAAGAGGAGTGGTCAAAGATTCAACCAGAAGCTTGTGGATGGCTACCAAAAGCGCCTGATTGAAGTGAAAATGGCTAAGGGACATGTAACCAAATATTAGCACTGCTGTATGTATATTTGTGACCCAGCAAATGTGATCACTGCTCTCTGTTAACCCATAATAAAGACATTAAAGAACCAAACTTCATGAATGTTTTTTGTGACAAAGAAGTATCTGTTCCAATCACTCTATCAGAGAAAAATCAGAGTGTTAGAAATAACGGGACACTCAGTAGAGCCATTCTATTATATTTCTTACAAGTGTATGTAAACTTCTGACCACAACTGTAGCTGTGTGTGTAGTCGGAACCGGATTCGTAGATCCATCCAGATGCTTGCTGAGTATTTCTGCAGCTTTGTGGATGTGCTTGAGAAGAATGATTTAACCAAAAAGGGCCCTAATTTATCTGACTGTACATCTGCGCCATGTCACAACAGCTACTGTTCTCCTAACCCGTCTGCTGACTTCTGCTTTCCAGGAGTTAACATAATCAACACAAACTGCTCTGCAGCGCATAACAGACAGGCGTTGTGCTGCAAGATGTCAGTGGAGTATGATAAATTCATCGAGTCCCAGAAGAAGTGAGTCCACTGTTGCTCATCCACGGCATACACTTAGAATGGCCAACTATTACTGATGGGTGTGTGTGTGTAGGTGGTTCTGCCACGTGGATGATGACAACTACGTGGTCCTGCCCAGCCTGCTGCGTCTGCTGTCCTCCTACCACCACAGCCAGGACCTGTATCTGGGCCGGCCCAGCCTGGATCACCCCATCGAGGCTGCAGAGAGGATCAGAAGCGATGGATCAGTGAGTTATCTTCCTCTACATGCAGATGTTCTGGCTCCACCCAGCCGGGCCATTCTAGTGGGGGTTGCACTGCTTTTGCTTGTCAGGCGTCCACCAACGCCTGTTTCTAAGAACTGGCTAAAGACGCACTATTATACATGGCCTCTGTGGGCACTTGACGATCTTAGTTGACATCACTTTCCTTTTTTAAGGCTGTATGTTTTTAATTTCTTCTTTTAGGATAGTTGTTTTTTTCGGGTCTGCAGTGCCCGATCCGTCTCTGGCTGCAGTCCAGGAGGACCCTGGTCCAGCCTGGTTCTTGTTCCCAGGGGAGGGGTGTCTGGGAAAATTCACATCTTTGTTGAACAAGGTCTTTCTTTTAAAACCCAAAGACGAAACATATATACTTACAGTAATTACCCCCCCCCCCCCCGCCCCGCCCCGCCACGTTGGATCAAACACAAAAGACAACACCACAGATCACAAAGATCAATCTATAACTTCCTGCTCTTTCTCTTTCTTCACAATTTTTTAAACACAATTTTAATTTTTGCCAATTTTATTATGTAGTTTAAAATCATTTATATTTTTTAAACTTTTGTTCTATAAACTTCCATCAAACCTTCTCAGTGGCTTAGCTCTAGAGGGTCCGCCTCAGCACCATCGGGTTCAAATCCCGGCCGGGTCACACCAGATATGCTCGGCTTTAAGGGCTGGATTGCAGCAGGCATTTAGTTATTTATTTCTGTCTGTTCTTCTTTACGTTGCTCTGTCTGCTGCAAATGCTCTTCTGTCTCTCAGTGCTGTGGGCCAGTGAGGGACAGCGAGAGTGATTCTCCAGCAGTGTAGCAGAGCTGAGCCGGGTGTAAAGTGTCTCAGAGCTTTCTTGGTAGATGTCCGGCAGTCCAAGATCTCATCAAGAAGAGTACGAGACGGCCACAGGAGAAAACCTCCAGAGTTGTACATACCTGAAGAAGTGAGTTCTGGATATGAGACCTAGCCACCGGTTGTTCACAGGAGCCAAGTGCAGCATTCACTTATAGATCAAACAGGGAGTGTGCTGCAGGAGCCTACCCATAAGAGGCCTCATCAGACGGTGTTTTTGTCATGGGCAACCAACGATAATTCAGTAAAACCAAAAGACCGTCTGCACAGATTCAGAACCTAACAGTGGGACTGGCTGAGTAAAGCCTAGTTTATGCTTCTGCGTCGGTGCACCATTATCCGTCCTTGCAAAGGCTCGCAAGGACGGACGAAGCTAAGCCCACTTTTCTACACATCCGTCGAACAAGACTGAAACGCAAGCTTGTGATTGGTCGGTCCAGAAACCTGAGACCACTCCTGTCTTGATGCCATTTCTTTAAACTTTTCGGTCTGTGGTGAAGATTTTCTTCAAAGCAGATATGGACCAGCTGGAGGACCATCTGGCAGAAGTACAAACATTTCTATAACCCTTCTCTGAAGGACTGTAAAGATGCCCAGGGTGATCCTGGAAGGAAGTTGCCTGCAATTTGGAAATGGAGGTGGGGGACTGCATGAAGAAATGGAGGAAAATGCGGGACAGATTAGAACACCAGTGGCGTCAACAAGAAGCCGTGGCACGGATTTGGTCAATCAGTCTCAGCCCCTTTCCAGTGGCAGCTCCTCTCGTTAGCTAAACTGAGGCTGATGAGCTGATTGAGTCCAGGTGTGGAAGCAGGAGGGAGGAGGAGGTCTTTGATGATTGCTGAGCCTTTGTGGAGGTAGGAGGTGGCAGCAATTTATGTCCTGAGCTCCCATCCCCAGGGCAAAAAGGCTCCAGCAGTAACAGTAAGGAAACTAAAATGTTTTTTTTTAGAGATGATGTGTAAATTTTACCTTTAATTTATGGAAGTATTCATCAAAATGTTGTTGAAAGTGAATGAAATGACATCCAGTTGTTGAAAAATATTGGTGGCTTCGTAACATAAAAATCAGGTCTACAACACATGCGGAGTGGTCTCTGGACGACGCCATGTTTCCTTCTACGGGAGCCCATCAGGACAAAATGCATTTACTGATTTGCTACAAACGGTTACAAAACTTTCGTCATTCATAAACGTTGTTTTACACGTTCACCTCTTCACTTGTTGCGTGATGAAAGGGAGTCTGATGTGCTTGTGATTTTGCTAAAGTTTGCTCTCCCCAGGGCTTTTTGACCCTAATGGACATCTGTTGGTAACGTCTTACTCCAACACAAAAATACTGCTTGCTTGCAATGATTTGGGTATCTACTGCCCCCTATCGCCAGGAAAAATACACACTTCAAGGTTGGCCTCCAGAATGCGCTGATAAGCAGCACCGTGTGTACAGGTCCTGACGGACATTTCAGCTCTCATTTTATTTATTTATTTATTTATTTGTTTATTTATTTTGGTCATTTAAAAGGAAAAAGAACAAAGTAATACAGAATCTGGATTATAGTAACCAAAAAGGTTTAGGCTGAAGCCTAGCTTTTTTTTGCCTACTCTATTTACTCAATCACATTACTTCTCAAAAAAAAAAAAGTAAATCACAATAATAAGATAAAAGTAATGTAATAATAAAAATGAGTGAGATAAAATTAATAATTATGATAATAACTGAAATATATTGAGCAACAACAACCATAATTCAGCAAGAGGAAAAATACCCAGAACTAAAGACAGAACTATACAAAACTACCAGTAATCTTAATAAGTCAATGTATGATAATGATCAAAACAGAGATTTAAATATTATAACTTGTACAAGAACATTACATTTTCATACACATCAGATGCACTAGCTCACATACGGTCATTATGGTAGTATGACATCATCTTCTTGACGTACAATTTTTAAATGATTTAACAGTTTTACATGCCCTGATTCCAGTATCCAAGTTATTCCGTAATTTGACTCCTACTGTTGTGCAACTCTGACTTCTAACATTTGTTCTTACTTTCTTTCTGACAAATAGTCCTTCCCCCTTAGTTCATACTGAGTTTCTGTAACCTGGAATAGCTTCTGAGTACAATCCGGAAATATTTTATTTTGTACTTTATAGAGTACTTGTGCTGTTTGTAGTCTGACCAGGTCTGTAAATGTAAGTATTTTTAGTTTTATAAACAGGGGGTGCGTTGGTGCATGGTAATCAGAGTTGGTAATTACTCTTATTGCTATTTTCTGTAGTAAAACTATGGGTTTTATGTGAGATTTGTGTTTCCCCAGACCTCCAGACAGTACATCATATGAGGAAGTACTAATGATTGGCATAATGATTTTCCATTTATAATATGTTTTGATTTATTTAACGCTGCAATAATTTTAGACATCTTAGTTTTAACATTTTCTATGTGCGGCTTCCAGCTCAGCCTTTGGTGTAATGTGACACCCAAGAATTTAATTTCACTTACTCCTTCTATTTCTACCCCATTTATTATTAATTTAGGAAGATTGTTTTGTTTGTTTTCCAAATATAATGTATTTAGTTTTACTTAGATGTAATGATAATTTGTTACTGTCAAACCAGGTCTTTAGTATTTTTAGATCACTTCCAACCATTTTCAATAGTTGTTCTATGTCTTTCCCTGTGATATACATGTTGGTATCATCTGCAAAGAGAATGTAGTTCAATTGATTGGTTCCTTTATTGATGTCATTTATGTAAAGTGTGAATAACTTGGATCCTAATACTGAACCTTGAGGTACCCCACAGTACACCTGTTTAAATTTCATCCAACATTACTTTAGTTTATGAATGTTTTAACGAATGTGGGACGTTGGTTGTGCATCAGAATTATGTTAAAAATAGTAGACGAGAAAGTGTTTGAATTTATCAATCAATCAATCAATCAATCAATACTTTATTAATCCCAGAGGGATTATAGAGCAGGGCAAAGGTGTGTGTCTGCCGTGTCTCCATTATTCAACAAAAAACAGCATGAGCAGTCTTGCTTTTGGAGATTGTCTGACTTTGATTTAGCGTCCTACTTTGCTGTGTCTGGCAGCACTGTGTGTGTGTGTGTGTGTGTGTGTGTGTGTGTGTGTGTGTGTGTGTGTGCGTGTGTGTGACTGAGGGATGGAGGTGGAGTTTAAGGTTAACCGAGTAAGGGCTGTAATAAACGATTCAATCCATTTTTTGAAACATGCATCCCTATGTGAAGTGAGTAAATCCCATACAACCCCAGAGCCCTGCTAATGAGGAGAAATAAATCATAAATACAGTCAGGTCCATAAATATTGGGACATGGACACAATGCTAACATTTTGGGCTCTATACACCACAATGGATATCAAATGAAACAAACAAGATGTGCTTTAACTGCAGACTGTTAGCTTTTATTTGAGGTATTTACATCCAAATCAGGTGAACGGTGTGGGAATGACAACAGTTTCATATGTGCCTCCCACTTGTTAAGGGACCAAAAGTAATGGGACAATTGGCTTCTCAGCTGTTCCATGGCCAGGTGTGTGTTATTCCCTCATTATCCCAATTACAATGAGCAGATAAAAGGTCCAGAGATCATTTCTAGTGTGCTATTTGCATTTGGAATCCGTTGCTGTCAACTGTCAAGATGAGATCCAGAGCTGTCATTATCAGTGAAGCAAGCCATCATTAGGCTGAAAAAACAAAAGAAACCTATCAGAGGGATAGCAGAAACATTAGGCGTGGCCACAACAACAGTTCAGAACATTCTCAACAAGAAGGAACGCACCGGTTAGCTCAGCAACACCAAAAGACCCGGAAGACCACGGAAAACAACTGTGGTGGATGACAGAAGAATCCTTTCCCTGGTGAAGAAAACTCCCTTCACAACAGTTGGCCAGATCAAGAACACTCTCCAGGAGGTAGGTGTGTCTGTGTCAAAGTCAACAATCAAGAGAAGACTCCACCAGTGTGAATACAGAGGGTTCACCACAAGATGTAAACCACTGGTGAGCCCCAAAAACAGGAAGGCCAGATTAGTTTGGCAAACAACATCTAAAAAAGCCTTCACAGTTCTGGAACAACATCCTACGGACCGATGAGACAAGACCAA